GGGAACTACTGCTAGGCTTTTGGCTCAAATAGTAAGTCTTAGCTTAACCAACAACCTTCGTTCTGCTCACAGTACTATACCCTACCCTCTTCCTATCCTTGTGGCCCTCCTTATCCATAGTGCCTCCCTCCAGATCCATTTATGTGCAGACAAATGTTAGTGGAGTAAATTCCTATCTGGTTCCAGAATTATAGAAATCACGGAGTAATGGTTTCCAATGATTGATGTGCATTAAGGTCACCTAGAAATTCCCATGTTGGGGTTCCATGTGGTATCCTGATTCATTCTGTTTGAGGCAAGACTCAAATATCTGGTACTTACTGAAAACACCCTAGGGGGTTCTAAAGTGCAGTTAGGGCAGAACTGTCTTTCACAGAGGGTGCACACGACTTTCTTGTAAATATCCTCACGCAAGTCGAAAGCCTTAACTGCTCTTTCTAAACCTACCTGGCTCTCAGGAGCCTGCTCTGTGACCTGCTCTTTGAGGCCATCAATGTTCCTGTAAGTTCATTATGCTTGTTATTGCCAGGCCTTAATAGGTGAAAAACTTGCTTTACCCTTGATGTATAATCAAAAAGGCAGACCTTTTATGCTTTCTCTTTTTTTTTTTTTTTTTTTTTTTTTTGGTACTGGGGATTAAACTCAGGTGCTTCCACTTGCCAGGGAAGCGCTTATTCCACTGAGCCATCTCCCTGGCCCCTTCTTTTATGCTTTTTATCACCCTGCAGTTAGTGGTGGGCACTCATGCCTGGCCAGTATCTCTAGGATGTAGGAAGAGATTCTTCTCATGAGTTATGAGTAATGTGCCTTCTTGAGTATTGTATTGGACATATTGTCCAGCCCTATCAGTTTTCCAAGCATCTTGTAGTAATATGGACCAGTTTTCTGTGTTTTCAAGGTAGAAATCTTTCTTACTCATGTGACAAGGTGGGGAGGCAGAGGCCCAGCCAGGGGTGCTGTTGCAATGATTGGTAATTTTCCAGGCCTTGTAAAATGCAGTTAACAATGGGAATATGGGAACCAAAGAGGTTTATTGTTTTGAGATCCGAGTCACATTTGAACAATTATGATCAGTGGTGATCTGATTAGCACCAAAATACCTACAATTAAGATCCTAATGTATGAGCGAGAGAAAAGAAAATACAAGTATCTACTTTGAAAAAGATCAGGTATGTACTCTCTGTGTTGCTGACCATTGAGAAGAAATAAGGAGCCTTGACAGGGATTCAGCCATGATGGATAGTGGGCCATTTGTCCCAAGAGTAGAGTCCCAACTCTTTGACCTATAGGCTGGTGACCCTGCTTTAAGAGAATCACCCTTCCTCCTCTGGCCTTAGTTTGTTCCTTAATAAATACAAGATTATAATACTACCTCAAAGGCTTGTGAGGAGGGACTAAATCAGATAAAGTATGTGAAAGTTTCCTTGCAAGCTCTGAAGCACTATATAATTATTAGCTGTGACTAGCTGTTTGAGAAACTGGCTTTGTTAATGAGCTCAATTAACCTGCGTGTTGTCCACATCCTGGAGGCCATTGCAGGCTGGAGTGGGTGGTGGGCCTGGGCAATGATACCAGGCTTGGCTACAACCTCGTGCCTTCCTTCCCAGCCACTGTTAAGCTCAGAGGTGTTCTGAACCTGAGGACAAGGGAGTGTAATCAGAGAAGGAAGGAGAGGACTGTAGGCTCAGGAAGCCAATGGGAAAAATCTTTCCTATGGGACCTGTTGGTAGCAGTTGGGTAGGGATGGTAGAAGAAGAGCAGTTGCAGGGATAGAGAGACTCAACTGTAGTCACTGAGAAGGTTTACACCAAGCTGTCCACATAATTCTTAGGCCATGCTATGTTTCCAACTAGGTATGACAGATTCTTTGCTTGACCAAACTTTAGTCATGAACCTTCCTGAAACTTCTCCTTGACCAATCCTTACTCTTCTTTGTAAAATCCAGTTTTACCAAAGCACAATGCTAAGCCCATTTAGCAAGACCCTATAACTCCCAGGAATCTGATAAACCTCAATATCTGATGAGGTTCCTTATCTTCCATCATCCCCCAAATGGTGTCTGGCCACCTGGCCTGTCTTCAGCAAGGATCCTCTCAGGTCGAATTCACCAGAATTCCCCTTTTATCTGATGTTTCTTCCAGGTAATTTTCCATCCATTGAGCCTACCCCTTCCCATGTATCTATGCTATATTTGGAGTAACCCCACTCCCTGTCCCTCACTACAAGGCTGTGTTGCAGTGGTTTCTATGCCTATCATGATGGGATAGAATAGTCTTCATTACTGTGATTTAACTATTACCACTGAGTCATTATTTTCTTTAACAGATAGACCTTTAGGAGTTAGCTGGGGAGATGCCTAGCTATCTGAGCCTAATACTGGATAGGTAAGTGCTGAACTCCTGGGTAAAGGACTCAGGTGGCCCTTGAAGATGTAAAACCCCTTGTGTATTTCATTTCTTACCTACTCATTGTCACAACCAAGTAGAGAGGAGAATGACCTGAGAACTTGCACTCTCTAGGGTTGAGAAGACACTGTTACAGCAGGAGATCCCTTGGCTCCATTATTTTGCTGACACTCCAAGACAATCCTGAGGCTGAGTCCTGTCTTACCCAGGCAGACATAGTTCAGACCATGAAGGGGAAATGTGGTCTCCTCCAGAGTTAGTGCTGCAGAATGGCTTGGACGACTAGCAGGTGATCAAGCAGAAGTGTTTTTTGTGGCTGGCTCCCATCCCCTTTTTACTAATCTATTGCATGGTCTCTCCACTCACAATCACCAGTTTAGCCTTTCTGTTGAGTTACCAGCTGACCCTTCTATTGGAGCATGGAAGAAACATGGGCAGCAGGACTCAGAGAAGGTTGCAGGCCCCAGGCTGGGGTCAGATGCAGTGTTCCTGCACCAGGCCTCTTAGGGGACCAAGATTCTCTGCAGCTCCTTTCTGGGGGTAGAAATGCATAAGTAGCAAGTGCCCTGTGTGTAAATCTTGCTTTCTTATGATTCAAAGTAATCTCAGGATTACTTTGCCTTAATCCTGTTAACAAAAAACAATTGAAGGGCTGGCCTAATAGCTCAGCAGATTAAAGTGCCTGCTTAGGCAGAGCACAGCAGCTGGGGTTCGATCCTTAGCCTGCCATGCTGGCCCTGCTCCCAGAGCACACTGAGACAGCAATTAAGACTGGGTGTGGTGGCACATGCCAATAATTCCAGCACTTGGGAGGCTGAAAACAGGAGAATCGCGATGAGTCAAAGCTGGGTAGTGAGACCCTGTAGACCCTGTACTAAATACATTAGATAAAAGAGAGACAATTGATAACATTTTCTACTGCTAATGAGCTACCACATTGGGCACCAAAGTTGACTTCAAATTCTTTTCAAAACCCAGAGAAGGAGGACACCATCTTTGTTCTCTTATTGTTCAGATGAGATGATGGCAGTGTGGACAGGATAAGTGATCTGTTCAGAGTCACACACCTTGTAAATGGTAGTACTAAGTGCCATACCCAGGGGGCACTTGAGGTCAGACTTTCTGAAGACAGATCCCTACATTCACCCTTCTGCAGTGGCTGTGGAGAGCTTTGGGGCCTGGATGTCAGGCATGGTGATAACACTTCGATTCTGCACATTTGCCTGGCAGACTGTTCAGTTGCACACAGCTTAACACAGGAGAGAAATTTAGCCTTTATCTGAGCTGACCTGCTTTTCAGAGAAATGGGAAATAAGTCCAGAGCTGTGACTCTCTTTAATCCTTGATCACATTAGCCTGATGACACTTCTACTTTAATCGAAGTGGCTGCTAGTGGGCAAAGTGGGTCAATCCAGCTTTAGAGCTGCAAGCTGCTGAGGAGTCTTCCTGGTGGACGAAGGCTCTTCTCTATACTCCCTATCACTAGTGACCTGTTAGAAGGTGCTCCCTCACCCAGGGAATTGTCCTTCCTGGCTCACGTGGTAAATAGTTTATACCATAATTTTTATATATGTGTTCAAATTATAGTTTTGGTGCATTAGGATGGTTTGTAGCTGGAAGTTTAGAATTTCCTGAGAAGTAAGTATTTGATCAAAAATGATGTGGGAATTATCTCTTTATGTTGTCATTGTTGACATCATCACCAATATCATTGTCTCTTCTTTGATCTCCTTGTCCCCCCTCCTGATTTGATATCTTGTAACCAAAGGCACACCTCATTAATTCATGTAATCAGTGTAATTGTGATGTGTTACCACAAAACCACTTTTTTGATCCAAATGTCATGACTTGTATCCACTGTAGGTTGTTAACAATAATTTACAAAAGTCTACTGCTTTTGTTTGGTTCTATGATAGGTATCTTCCAAGTCATCACTGTTTTTTAATGGACTAGAAAATACTTTTGAAAATTTCTAGTTGTGTCTTGAATTTCCCCATGATGTGTTTGTATGGGTTTATATTTACCTGTATTCAATGGAGTTTTGGTGCTTTCTTTCTTTTTTGGAGAAAAGGTATTTTGTTATTCGGCACTGTGGTAGAAAGTGGGTACAGTCTGGCTGGACCAGGGGGATGCTTTCTTTCTGGTGCCCACAGCATATTTGCCTGGACCTGTGAAAGACTTATGGATAGTGAAATCTGAGACCCAGGTGCTTTGTTCAGGGAAGGCGCATATCCAGAAGCCAAAGTCATTTGTGTTTTGACAACTTCTATTTGAGGCAATTCGAAACCTTGATACATTGATATGCCAAATTAAATAAGGGAGAGAGGATACCCACTCCAAGATCTTAGAGAAGCTGTATCTGGCTCTTCTATCTTCAATGAAAGTGTCTTCACGTTGCAGGTAGATGGGGTCTAGCTATCACATTTTCTGTGGCACCTTAATGTACTTTCAACTCTGAAATTCTGCTTGTATATGTACGCGTCTTGACAGTACTTCTCAGTAATAAGAGAGAACCAGGACTCAGTGTTGACCTGGAGAGGAGTGAGAAGAAAACACCCCTTCCTGATCCTGGATTTCTTTGCTTTCTTTTCTCAGGGACCTGATGCCGCGCACGCTGGAGGGACAGATCACCATGGAGAAGACGCCCAGCTACTTCGTCACGCGGGAGGCGCCCGCGCGCATCTCGGCCATGTCCAAGGACACCAAGCTCATCGTGGTGGTGCGGGACCCGGTGACCAGGGCCATCTCGGACTACACGCAGACGCTGTCCAAGCGGCCGGACATCCCCACCTTCGAGAGCCTGACGTTCAAAAACAGGAGCGCGGGCCTGATCGACACGTCGTGGAGCGCCATCCAGATCGGCATCTACGCCAAGCACCTGGAGCTCTGGCTGCGCCACTTCCCGGTGGGCCAGATGCTCTTCGTGAGCGGCGAGCGGCTCATCAGCGACCCGGCGGGCGAGCTGGGCCGCGTGCAGGACTTCCTGGGCCTCAAGCGCATCATCACGGACAAGCACTTCTACTTCAACAAGACCAAGGGCTTCCCCTGCCTGAAGAAGGCCGAGGGCAGCAGCAAGCCCCACTGCCTGGGCAAAACCAAGGGCAGGACCCACCCCGAGATCGACCCCGCGGTGGTGCAGAGACTGCGCGAGTTCTACCGGCCCTTCAACCTCAAGTTCTATCAGATGACCGGGCACGATTTTGGCTGGGATTGAGTGGACCCTGGCTGTGTAATTTACCATGTGGCTTATATATTAAGAGATTATATGTATGTAAAATGTACAGAAATCTATTTTATAATAATTTATTTTTAATTCATAAGCAATTAATTCACTAAGCTGCCTAGCCACACTCTTTAGAGAGTTAGCTTCATGATTTGTTAACATTCCAAAGTGTTTAATTCTGATATTTTGTTCTATGCCTCACAATTGATGGTGCTTCCATTTCTCCCCCTTCCTTCCCTATTGTATTTAAAAAGAAGAAAAGCACAACTTGAGATTTTTGTTTTTACGGGTATTCAGCTTTCATTTGCTGTCCCAGTTCTCTGGTTGCTGTCTGCTTTTGTCTGGGGCTCCATGATCCAGCTTCCAGTCTCTTCTGCTTGTGTACCTCCTAGGAGCACTGAGCTGCCCCACTGTGCTATATTCTGAAGATCAGGCCTCACGTAGCAGCTTCCTCAGCCATGTGTAGTCTTTCCAATGGTACAGACTGCCAACACCGTGCTGAGGGTTTTCCTCACATCCACTAAGAATGGGGCTTGACATCACCACTTACGTAGGGACACCTATATCCCTTTAGAGTTTGGGTGACCGGGTCCACTTCTTTCAGCATTTGATGTTGAAGGATGGCATATCGTCCCCTTCTGCCCCATTCTTTGGTCTGGTAACAGTCTGAAGTGTGTGCAAATGTTAGTCCCTCTGTCCCAGGTCACACGCTTAGGTGCTGCTTTAGCAATAAAGATGATCTTTTGTAGTTTGCATGGCTGTGCACTATGCTCTTTTCTCCAGGCAGACAGTTCTGCTGTGACACACCAAAGAATTCATTTACTTGCAGAGCCACTGGCACAAACCCAAGGCACTGAGTGGAGAGGGGACAGGTGCATCCCTTACCACTAGCATCTCCCAAGCTGTTGCCAGATGCAGAACTGGGCTGTAGCCTCACAGCCTCCTCACAGGGGATAAAAGGCACAGACTCCGAACTGAGAGGCAGCCTGGCAGAGAAAGGAACTCCTGGCGTCTCAGATTGCTGTTGCTGTGGAATTTTTAGCTCATCTCAGAATGGCCACATGGTCTGTAACAATTCCAGCAGCAAGAACTAGGAGTGGCCCTTGAAAGGCATGGTGCAAATGCTGACCCTGTGTCCTGTAGGTACTTGGGCCAGATGCTTGTGCAGCTGTCCTGTATCAGCCAGGTCTTGGCAAAAAGGGTGCCGACATTGTTACTACTGTGCAGATGGCTCTCCCCATCCCTCTGTGCCACAAGTACAGGTAGGGATCATTGATGCTAAGCAGCTGGTGACAACTGGACAGCCATGTAGTGGCATCACACAATGACCTATTTAGTTAGTCCTCAGTTTTCTAAACCAGAATAGTTCTATCACAAGAAAATTGTTTTTTGAGTTATACTTTCCTCAAGGAATATGTGGGAAGATATACTATACTGATTGTCAAAACAGTTGAATTGTGATATTTACAGAGGATGCCTTTGTATGTTTTATGGGAAAACTTGACTCATTGGGTAAGAAAAGTTATATGAAAAGAGGAGAGAATAATTTATATGTAGAAACTAATCCAGAGATGTTACTGGTCTTTCAGGTGACATTTTGATAATCTAGCTTGTATTTGTCCATAACTTTTAGCCCAGCTCTTAACAGCAAAAATATGTGGGCAGGCTGAATTGAGGGAGGAGGATGAATAGAGGCTCTGTGTGCTCCTTAAATGTTATATCCAATTTATATAATGTGTTTATTGTCTTAACAAAATGCTGTAGAACCTGCACTCAGTGCAACACTGTAGTCGTGGTGTGTTCTCCACTCCTCCTGCTTGGGTGTGAATAACAGCTACCTAAGGGTGCTAATTGGTTGTGCATTTTCTGTTTGGAAGGCTCACTTGCAGTCAAAGTAGAACAGCTCTTTGCAGTGACTGCATAACTTTGCTTGAAGTAAGGCAGTGGCCCAAGTCCTTCACCGCATCTCGCCCTGTTGACTCTGTGGCCACACTCATGGTCTAAGGGTGGCTCATGATGTAGAATTGCAGAGTAGTTTAGAGAACATTATGCAGCAAAAACCACAGGCAAGCATATCTGAGCTTTTCCTTCCCCTTCAGGTCCCTGACCTTTCAAGCTGGACAATTTTTGATTGTTTATTACCAGCTTTAAAATAAAACTGAAACAGGAAATTTTCAGATAGGAAGGTCATTTAGTCATGAACACTGAAGTGGGTCAAAATTCTATTCTAGGTCAAGTCCTTGAATTCAAACAGATGTTGATAATTAGCATGGATGGAATAGGGCAAATATTTCCAAGTAAGACAAATAAATACAAAATCACATGTGTCTCTTATAGGGTCTGATAGCTCACAGTTCCTGGCTGATATGGATGCTGCCTCTGCCCCAAGGTTACACCTCATGTGATAATTATTACAGCCTTCAGGTCTTCCTCTTGGGGAAGTTAGGCAGTAAAGAAACTGAACCTTGGGTTTCTTCCTGTTGTAGCCATCTGCAAAATCATCAAACTTAGCATTTTAGCTGCGAAAAGACAAACACCAAGTCATGTTTTGGCAATTCAGTCCAGCACATGTTTTGGGTTTCTTTTAGGAAACACAAAAGCAAAGCTCTGGTATTCTCTGGAGTGCTTTATTCTCAGTTTTGTTTTCTTTCTTCATTTAATATCAAACAAAAAAAATTAACAAAGAAAATAGAGCTATTTCTATCTATTGACTTTTCTTTGAGGTGTTTGTGTAGAGTCCTGTGTTAACTGGATAAGTAGTGTCTGAAAGGTTATTTTAGGCCTGTAATAAATTCTTAATTGGATGATTGAGGAGAAGTTGTCTTATTCATGTGATTCTCTTTGTGAGTCATTTTGAGTGGCAGACGAATTTAGACTTTTGGAGAAACACAGTTGCAGATACTGTCGGGGTGTTTTGGTAAAAAAGGAAAATGTAAGTCTCTAAAGAGTTGGGAACACTTTGGTAATTTTCTAAGATGCTGACGTAGAAGTCAATGTTATTTCTTTTTGCAGTCTATCAGGAAGGTTGGTTAATGCAGTTTAAAGGTGTGGTTAGATTTTGTTTTCACTTGTGTAACATTAATTTATGACTGAGTTTCATTGAGCCCCATAATCTAAAATACTGTGCAAATTCTAGCCCTCTGTCTTCTATAACCAGGATTTTAGAATAGCAGATATGTACAAAAAATTAAATCAAGTATTTTGTCCTATGTATAACACAAATTAATTTTACACAGAGAAAGATGTTTCTAGGAAAATGAAATTCTGGTAATTCCTACTATTTCTTTGTATGAATAAATAAAATATATTTTACCAACTTGTGCTTTTATGTTTTACTGTGTATTGCAGATAGAGAAGGTAGTAATATTTTATTCCGTGAGCAATTATGTTATCAGGTAGCTCCTTTGGAAATGGTTCACCAATAAGCTAACGAGATAGCTCAGCAGTTTAAGTGCCTGCTTAGGCAAGTGCAATGACCTGGGTTCTATCCCGGGTGCCACATGCCCCGCTGGCCCTCCCCCAGGGCACACTGAGGCTGGGTGTGGTGGCGCATGCCAGTAATTCCATTGCTGGGGAGGCTGAAAACAGGAGGATCAATGAGTCTGAGTAGTGAGACCCTGTACCAAATACATTAAAAAAAGAAAAAAAGAAAAAAGAAAAAAGAAAATGAAATGGCTCACCAAGTAAAGTTATTCCAGGTTAGTTTTGCCTTGAGCAAAGCATTGGATGAGACAAGCCAGCAACAGTGCCAAAAGTTTATTTGAAAAACAAAGGCTGAAGGGGCAAGGGAAAAACTAGCTCTTTAGAATGAAGCTGGGCTGAACAAAGAGGAGAAGGATAAAGTACAAGTGTACTCTGTGAGACACAGAGTGAGATGATGAGGAGTTCTAATCGTGGGCTCCTCGGGGCCTCTAGTTTCCAGTGGGAGTCTGTGAGAAGTCCCACAAATGGGGTCCTGGGAGTTACTTGGTATTATCCTGTTTTTTAATTTTTAATTTAATTAAAATTATCATTTTTAAAAATTTCAATGCAGGATCTCTCTACACAGCTTGGGCTCATAGTACTCCTCCTGTCTCAGCCTTCCCAGTGCTGGGATTACAGGTGTGCACCAACACACCTGCTTTCAGGCCCAACACTGCATTTGGTACTGGGGGTTGAACTCAGGTCCTTGTGCGTGCCAGGCAGACGCTTAGACTGCTGAGCCATCTCCCCAGCCCTATCTTGAGATCTTTTTTTTTTTTCACTGAGCCATCTTCCTGGCCCCAATCTTGAGATCTTGTAATTGACAGATCCCACTTATTTCCCCAGCCAGCTTGCCACATCCTACCTATATCAATTATACATGCATATGCACAAAAAGTCATTCTCAACAGGTCTATTTTTCTGACTTTTTAGAGCCTCTAATCCAAAAGCCAATTAATCCACACATATTTAGGATGAACTGTTTATAAATGCCTGTGGTGGCAAAAGAGGGAGTGAGAGGCCCCTACCCTGGAGGAGCTTGCCCTCCACCCCCATGTGCTGTCCAACTATACCTAGGTCACACATGCAGGTCAAGGAGGGTGTACCTGAGCGCTGACCACATGTCGCATGACAGTTGGATGTAGGCAAGCCTCTTTCGCTGGGTGTATTTGTACAGTACCATTGCAGAGTGTTTGTTTCGCTGTAGAAACCAGTTTCTGTGAGCACAAAACAGAAAGGCACCAGGCATGGCATGTATTAAGATGTTCTTAATACATCTCAAACTGCCTTCTGCTTCCTTTGGTCATAGAGCCCTACCTATATTATTATCACTGGCTAAAAATATTTGTACTGTTCTTGTTTGACTTAATTTTGAAAGGAGCTACTGTAGTTTTAGGTGATAAACTATAATTTCTTGCCATTAAAAGGATATGGTTATTAAAAGTACAGTGAAAACAGATGCTATTAGTGGCTAGCTAGATAGTGCAAGTAAAGATAGCAGTGCTTGCCTTAGGCTCAGTGCTTCTGGTGGGCAAGACTGAGCTTTGCATCTTGCCACGAAGAACGAAAGGTATGACTTGGTGCTGAGCCTGTGCTTACGTGAAACACTGGAGCCCTTTCCTCCCCATCTTTTTCCGTAGCTCTCAGTTGCCTCACACCTTGAGAAACACTGAGTCACACTGAGGGAACACCTCGGGGAGAGGCACAGAAGGGGAAAGTAGGCTAGCATTTGGGGAGGCCAGGGGCAGGTGAATTGGCTTTCATGGCACAGAGGAAACCAGCTGGTCATCCCTCATTAAGATCTATTTTGCAAAAGCCAGCATTCCATGGGGACTGGCTCCTTCAAACCCAGGAATGTGCCACTCTGGGAAATATGTGTGTGCCTTATGTGTTGACATGACATTGCACCCCATCCCATCAATTTTGTGATTTTCCTATGGAAAGGTAATAAAATGAACCTGAAAATCTACTTATTAACTTAATACCACAGTTTAGAGAAGGTTTCAAGCTTGGGCAAATAATTAAATGAGCTGAAGAAGTCTTTAAAAAATCCTCAAACTCAAATAGACCCCACATCATTTACATTTAGAATTTCTAAAGATTGAGGCCCCTATACAGATAGACAGGTTGGGGACCACTAATCCAAAATTCTGAAATCTAAAATACTCCAAAACTCAAGACTTTTTGAGCCCTGACATGCCCCAAGTGGATAATTCCACATGTGATTTCATGTGTTGAGTTGCAGTCAAAATGTAAGCCCACTAATATTTATACACTGAATACTGTAGGACATTACCTTCCGGCTGATGTGTGAAAGGTATATATGAAGCACAAATGAATTTCTTTTTCAGATCTGGGTTTTAGCCCGAAGACACTTTATTATATCTATGCAAAATATTTCAAAGTCTGAGAAGAATCCCCACAGAAGCATACTTCTGTTCCCACACATTTCAGATAAGAGGTGCTCAGCCTGTATTTAAAAAGTGCCTCCTGTGATTCGAATGCATAAACAAGATTGAGAGCTGTTGGTTTGAAGTTGTACTGAAAACAGGTCCTGGACCACATCAACATTACCTAGAAATGTGATAGGAAAATCCCTCGGCATTAGAAATGCTGGCTCCCTAGTTAGCAAGCCCTCCAGGTGATTCTGGTTGACATAAAGTTTGAGACCCACTATCCTAGACACAAACTTCAAGCCACTTTACAACTAGAGATTGGGTATACTTAAGTATGTTTTCCTCTGTACCATAATTTTTTTTTTAAATCAAAAATGTCAATCATGAAACAGGTCCCTCTTATAACTCGATCCTCTTTCAGGGAAACCCTTACACAGTTGTTCTTGCAGTATTTCCCATAGTGCCAAGCCCACCTGGCTTTTCCTGTCAGGCTGCGTGACTTATCAGGCAGCCCAAACTGCCATGGGAACGTGCTCACAAAACTGCACGAAAGTGGAATGTCAGACTTGTAAAGGACTTTTGAAAGACACATAAAATTTATTTTAACTTCTTTAAATGCTCAGTGTAACCTTGCCTTGTAGTGGGTCTTCAACAATACATCCCCACCATTTTGCATATGATTGATAATTATTTCTTCTTATTTTTCAGATCTGAGCACAGTGCCTGATAAGATCCACTAATTAGTCATTCCAGGTAACAGAGTCTTCCTGGCCATTTTATCCCTTGTGATAATAGTCTCATCTCTACCTACAGTTCTGATTATTGGCATCTAGTTTTCTCTTTTCTCCACTATTATTAATTAGTATTATGTGCAAAAGGTGGGGAAATACTCATGCACTGCACAGTCACCTATAGTCCCATCTTTGGGCTTAGAGCTCTGATTCCCTATTTGAGAGAATGGTATGATCGGCTCCCATCCAATAGTCTATATTTTTGTGAACTAAAAGTGACCTAAGGACCTCAATCCAGGTTTCCTGGATAAAGGTGAATATACAGAATTAAAGTTTCTCCCTTGGACCTGCCTTATACCTAGGTGAATTCTTCCTTTTCGGCCCTTGGTACTTCCTGCTCTTCATCCTTCTTGTTATGCAGTAGCTATTCATAATTTCCCCAAGAATTCCTGATCCGTTTGCATGATTTCTATTGCAATACATTCAAGTTGAGAAGAAAGAGAAAGGCACCTCTTAGGAAGTAGCAAACAACATGAACTCTCCAGAGAGTCCTGAAAAGGGAGGCACAGAGCACAGAGGACTGTCCATTGGGCATACTTCTTGTGAGCTGGAGCAACAAGTGGCTGAAATTGGAGGTGGTCCATTTATTCCATATTATTTTACCAAGTGCCTACTGCTGCTAGGAACTCATCCCTTAAGGCAAGGCACACTTGCTGTTTTAAGGAACTCATAGTCTGTGGTGGAGGTGAAGGATCCCTGAAGATGCAACCTGCCTCTAACATGATTAGGGCTCTGATGCATTTGTCAGTGTTCTCCAGACAAATGGACAGGATTTTACTAACTCTGATTGATTCAGTTACAGGAAGTGTAAAAGTTGCACAATATACACTGTGCAAGCTGAAGAACCCCAGAGTTGGTAATGTGGTTCAATCTGAGAAGCCACAAAACTCACAATCAAGGTGGCCGACTGCACAGACCCCATCCAGGATCAGAGACTTGAATGCAGTTGGAAGATTGCTGTGTGCAATCCCAGAGATTAAAGCCTGAAGAAACTGAAGCCTGGTTCCATGGGCAGCA